TGTTGTCGGGATGTCTCTTCCCAAATGAGACCTTTAATCTTCATTATTTACTGTATTTATAAATGAGCCGAAACTGTCAAAATGTGATTTAATTTGTGAGAAAACATGAAAAAGTCTGTATATTCAGATGTGTGCAGTGAATCGTCTATGTCTAATAAAATATGTACTATAGATTAGAATTCTTTCAAAACATTGTGAGTATTTCTGCATATTGGTGCTGTCACATACTAACATACTTTGATCTAACTCCATTGTGAGCATAGAAAAAAAATCTTGACACCATAATGATTACTTTTAAATACTTGATGTTATTACTTTTAGAGGAAACTCATAATTGGAAAATTGGTCAGAAACATCACAGAGACATTTGGTCAAACTTGTGCGTCCCATCACTGCTGTCTCTCCAGTCGTGGGTTAATTTAAGGCCTTTTTGCATTTTCTCTCCATGTCTGCAAAGTCACTGAGGTCACACCTACACATAATAGTAAATACAACCCCAATTGTTTACGTTTTGATAACAAATTTTGACTTGAACTGAACTTCCGAGAACATGTCATCTGGACCACAGACTTGGCCGCTCTAAAATATCCTTCTGTAGATTTTTCAAGCAGGCCCTGGTCAATGTCTATGGCTCTGTTTTTGGTAGAAATCAGGAAAACCTCATCGTTCAGTCCAGTTCCACAGCATATAGCGTAATGCGTTGTGTATGTGATTAACAGTGTAGAGCCCCCTGTCTGATTATGAAGCACATTTATAACGCGGAAAAGTGGGTGAACAGGCAACTATAATCTATACAAAGAACTCACAAACATAGAATCTCCTCTTAAATTTAAAATACTTTCCCACTCTGGGTTTCCTCATTTCAATGCAAACTTTGATTTGATTGGCAGCGACTGCTAAAATTATATTCCCGCAGTAAAACATGACTTTTTAAGTTGTTTTCCATGACTGTGCTAAAGCCAGGCAGTAAAAGTTGATGGAAGCTTGGATGTGTTTATTCTGACTACACATTCCTCTGTAAATGTGTGTTTTCACTTCGGAGATAAACGACTGATCCTTCAAGGGAAATAAATGTTAATTCATAATTCTTGACATGATCCAGCTTTTGCTTTTTGATTAAGATGAAACATTGACAATCGAACCAAATGGGTAAAATAATAATACATGTATCAGGTTTTGTTTCAATATATTTGGAGATAAATATAATTATTAAGTTAAAATACAAAAAATAATTCTATATAAATCCAATAACGATAACAATGAAACCTTATGTTACAATGAAACAGGATAATCCCAGTTCTTTTTTATATATGTTATTAATATCATGAGCTACAACAAATACACTGCCATATAGTTACAACTTTGACTTTCCACAATAGGGCTGGCAAATATTTAAAAATATAGATTTTCTGACCAACTTTACTATGAGGTTTTTGAAAGACAACATGCACAGTACTTGTACACGTAATGAGAGCAATGAGACTAATAAACATTAATTCATATCTTTACCCACTGATTTCTTTAAATAGAATGTTTCACTTGGACAGAGAAAATAATGCCTCGGCCCGATAATGATGCAAAAGATACTTGCTTGTTTTTGTGATTTCAGCAATTATTTCAGCCCTATATTTCCACAGCTCAGTTATTATATTACAAAATACTTGATTCAAAATATTACTTGACATCTGCAGTTAAAAAAGTACCCAGAGTGCATCAGAAACAAACACACAGTAAAAATATAAAAGCACATTCAGAAGTATATAAGAATAATTTCTCATTTTGAAACAACTCAGAAAAGTGCTATAACAATTAAAGTGCAATATCAATATTTTGTTCTGCATAAAGACAGCTTGTGGAAGAAGGCTGTTTGCTTGGCGAGCAGAGTCAGTTCGTAGCATGTCCTCTGAGCAGAAGGTTGGCAGAGCAAAATAGGGCTGGGCGATGTAGATATGTCACATTATGATTGGGGAATATCACAATAATGATTTAATTCACTTTATATAAATCGCTGTGACAAGCGTTGAAACTGCACAGCATTATTTAGAAATACAAAGAAATAACTATATAATGCATTCGTCTTCTTGATGTGAAGCGCTTTGAATAGCTTGAAAAGGTAGAAAAGTGCTGCACCTTAATTTGTTCCAGGAGGGAAGAAGCTGGAACAGGCCCTTTCCAGCGGCTAGAAGAATCACTGATGATTCTAAAAGCACAATTTAAAAGTCTGGGTCCCCAAAGAGCCTCCAGGACATCTCACAGCTCACTGTCCTTTTAGCAGAGTAGACCTTGTAGAGTTCTCTTTTCTTTGGAGAACCATCAAAGACTTTTAATGTTGCAGCAACATTTTACACAAGAAGAGATGCTGATGAGCTTTCTTAACAATGTGATTTCTGTTTTTGTCCCATTTCAAATAGTTTGAGTTAAACCCTGAAACTTGCACATCAGCAACATTGTCTTTGTAAATGCACAATTAGTCATCGTTCAAAAGTAAATTAATTTTTTTAATTAACCTTTAAATGTGAAACCAACACATGATATAGACTCATTACATGCAAAGTAATGGTTGTGATAATGCTGATTGTTATGGCTTATCTTCAAAATATTATAGTATTTCTTTACAACCTGTGAGCCAATTATCAACATTATAACAAATAAAGGCCTGAAACATCTCACTTTGCCTTGTCTAACCCTAACCCAAAATATCTAGTTATTCTGGTAACGCTGCTGTGTCCGTGTGTGAATACAGTGGTCTCGACACCTGTGTCATAGTGTACATGTTTAAGCCGCTGCACTCTTCATAATCGGCCATATTAAGACTCTCACATGCAGACAGGCCTGGTCACAGAAGGCGGAGCTGCCATGACAGGCTTAGGTTTCCTCTATATTAAATGGAGCCCTGTGAATGGTGGCCGTTGCTGCTATCTGACTGAAGGAGGATGAGCTGATGAGCGGTGTGCAGGTGAAGCTGAAGGCCCATTAGAAGAATGGACTCACTCTCCTTCAGTGTAACCCGAGCGGCTGCAGCTCCACTAAAGCTCAGCGGACTGCAGGCTCTGCGTCTGACGGGCCCTTTGTACTGTCATCTTTGCTGTTTAAAAGAGTTGAATGTTGTAGACGAGTATTGAGGGTTAACCACGGCTCAACAAAGTGCACTAGATACAAACGCGATCATTGGTTTCATTGTGATTTCAAAACATTACCCTAAAGCGACAATTCTGGACTTCATCAACATATATGGACATTGGTCATCTGCCTAATGTTCACATATACATTTGCCCGGTGTTTGGACTGTTTGATTCTCTGATCTGTTTTGGCAAATTGTCGGCTTGTCCTCCAAGATATACAAAATTTAATTGAATTGAATTTTTGCATAAATATTGAATGTTGTTTGTCCCAACAGAAAGTTTAAAATCAGACCACAACATGCAGTCTTCATCTTCTGAGAAAACATGGTGTATTTTGCATACTTGTAAATACCCCGTGAGTCACTTTTGGACGATTTGGGCTGAGAGCTGTTTGGTTGACTGAGTGTGAGCCCTTAAATTTAACTTATCTGTCAGAAAAAGCGGATCTGAACATGTGACAGAGGCTAAAAAAGACATGCATGTGAAAACTAGAACTGTTTTGAGAGAGAGGGAAAAGTTACATGAAATTTTATTATTCTTCGGGATTTGAAAATTAGGTATGTGAGCTTTAATGATACATTTGAGGGTACACAGATGTGGTGAAATCTTAGTAAAACATGTATGTATTCTTCCCCACAAACAACACATCAGTCCAGGCCAGGGTGAAAAACTAAAATAAAATATCTGTTCAATCTGTACTCAAATAAAAAATAAATAGTGAAGAAAAACAAAACCATTTCATTATCTTTATGTAAAATTAATTTAAAGGTTGTATGAATTCAAAACAAGTTCATTATGATATTGTTCAGTTAAAGCGTATATAGCAGGGGTCTCCAACCTGTAGCTCGCCAACCCCTTACAGGTAGCTCGCCAAAGAAATTAGAATTTAACAAATACACTTCAACAAATACCTTTTGACCCATTACATAACTATTTGAAGTATAAATATAGGGTTATACAGTATTATGGTGTATTTTACATGTGTTCTCTGAGTTTGGTCGCAATTATTAGATCGATTTTTATTACGACTGCAAAAAGGAGTAGCTCTCTGCCTGTTTGTTTGTATAAAAGTAAGCTCTTCCCTGGTACATAGAGAGGCATGTAGGTCTAATCCATTACCCTCACAGACTCCTTACAGAGCCGCTCCGCTGGAGGTCGGCCTCATCCTCGCTCAGCTGTGTTTCTGCAGAAGCGCACAAGTGGAAATGTGAGAGGCCTTATGGTTTATTCACACGTTAACAAATCTGTGGTGCTCATTGGCTGAGTGTCTGGATCAGGGGGTTCTGTGACCGTAGATGGACTGTCACCTGTCATTTTACCGCTTATATCCGAGCGGCATATATTTGTTTGCATTGTTTTTGTTTTTAAAGAATTACATTAAGACGATTTACTTTGTCATTTCATGTCTCAGAATGTGAGATAATGTAGAAAATAATGGTGAAACAAGTATGAAGGGTAAAACAGGGTAAAAAGCTTTCCACCTGTAACTCCCTATGCAACCAACAGAGGGAGGAGCTTCATTTTTTATTCATATTATTTAAAAATTACCAGCTACGAATACAGACATGCGATTGTAACGGACCTAAAGTCACAGAGAAATTACAAACATGAAGGATGGAAGGAACTTTTAGACAGAAGGGGCAGAGTTTCATGTTGAAGTGGCTAGATCTAAACACATTTCCAAGTCTGTTTTTGATGAGGGACCAATATTGTAACATGATTAAAAGAGAGATAAAGGCGATAATGCATATTTTTAACGATGAGCTGAGACAAAATGTTTGTCAATGACGTCAAAGTTGTCCAGTTGGACACATGAATAATACAAAATACTGCATCTACATACCTTCACTTTCCCATTGTTGTTCTTCTTGTGCCCAGTTTGAAGGGTGTAACAAGGCGTTTTCCAGACTGGAGAACCTGAAGATCCACCTGAGGAGCCACACTGGGGAAAAGCCGTACTTGTGCCAGCACCCGGGCTGCCAGAAAGCCTTCAGCAACTCCAGTGACCGGGCCAAGCATCAGCGGACCCACCTGGACACGGTCAGCGCCTCTCCTCTGACACTGCAGGAGCATAGCTTTGGGTGGTTTTTGCGGCTGCAACAAAATAATCGCAACTAATCAATAATTAAAATAGTTGTCATCTAATTTAGTAATCAATTAATCAGTTTTTAATCTTACGACTTAAATATGCTGAGTATATAGTAGTATAGTATATAGGTTTATGACTCAGAACATTCTATAACGACTGCTGAATGAAATTAAAATGTGTTTTCAAAGTATTGTAACCAAACAACTCAATGTGAAACTAGTCATCTCTATGAAGGCGTCCTATGTTTTGGTCCATTGTATAAAAAATCCCATATTCACTGAGCTTTCGGGAAGTTCAATTGTATTATTATTATCATTTTATAATGTGTTTTTCTGACCAAGGGATACTGTACTCTCATGTACACTTATATTATAGGTATATAATATTTAAAACAGTCCCTCCCATTAGTACAACCAGTAAGATTTACTGGAGAAGAACAGTTAAACCAATGACAAGGGGCTTCAAAAAAGAACCAGGAAAAGGACATAAATTGAGAATGGACCAGCAACAAGGGAAAAGCAGCACAGCGTACACACACACAGTCAAACTAAGAAGTAATAATAAAACACAAAATCCACACCATGACAGTAACACTTCTTTGCTCTCCAAGTCATAGTGTCAGTGTCAGTCTGTTACTATGGCTACAGTGCCCTGGATGTGGCACAGGTCACAGAAGCATCCACTTTTTGGCACTGACTATGCAAAAGTGTTTTACATATTTACCTTTTTTGGGCTAAAGTCTTGTTGTTGAGCAGACATTCAGGCCTGTTCAAGAAAGAAAGACTGGGTCACATCACAAAGCCAACTAAAATTCAGAATATGAATTAATTGTGTAATAATGTCAAGAGATAAAAATGGATCATGGATTTTGTTCATTTCATCCACACAAATGACATAGTGAATTAATTTAGTTTAGTTGTTGTTGGAAACCAATTCAACTGAAAAGCAGGTCAAGGCAGTTAGCAACAACAAGCTAAACACGTGCGTTGATTTTTCGATGAATGTTTTTAGTTTCAAACTTGCGAACACATACTAAAGATTGTGATGTCAGTGTTAAAGTGTAAGTAGTGTGTGAGCAAAACAGTTGGAAGACATACTTACATCAAACATTTTGCTTTTGTGTGTGCGTATATATATGTATAAACACACTAGAGCTGCAACTAACAATTATTTTGTAATCGATTCATCTATCGATTATTTTTACGATTAATCGAGTAATCGCTTGGCTGTGAATTGTGTAAAAAAAAATTTTTTTTTCATCACAAAAAGCTAAAGTGGCAACACTCGAGGACGTATTGATGGCGTGAACTTAAAGTAAATGTTTGTAACAGGCTCGTTGTGCTAATTCAGCTCTGATTGGATGAGACAGACAGATATTCATGAAATTATAAAAACAAAGTCGGTTTTACTCAAAAATACTACATTTTCATGTCATTTTTGCTCTGTTTGAGTCCGTGTGAACCAAAAAACGATTAATCGATTACTAAAATAGTTGTCGACTATTTCAATAATCGATTAGTCGTCGATTAATCGATTAGTTTTTTCAGCCCTAAAACACACACAGGTAAAACTCAGAAATGTTGTAATTGTTGACATATTGAAAATTGACTCACATTTTTTAAAAACCCCTATAAACATATCAGAAAATTAGAATTTTTGGGAATGGACTGTAATCATCAACAGACAAAGGCTCGATATATGTCAGTATTTAAGTTGAATTAAAGAAAAAAATACTTCTTTGTTTCCCAGTATGCTGTATACTGAGTTGCTTTTCCACACTATCAAAATAAGCCGCATTATGAAGCTAATACTAGACGCGACTCGTTCGCATTAACACCAGCAAAGTAAGTCTGCCAAAACCCTTGTGGAGAAAAACATTTACATCTTTTTATTATATTTACTCTGCCCAGAAGTGGTGGTTGTGGCTGTTTGGGGCGTAATGGTGGACAAAGAAAACATTTTGGGCATAAGTGGCGGCGCTGTGCTGCTTGGAATAACAATAGTTTATTTTCAGAGGACGCTGGGGTTTGAAGGGAAAGCAAACAATGATACATATCCTTTTACACTTTAATAGCAAACCTGTATTTACCAGAATGAAAACGGTTGTTTGAGTAAATATCCTCCACAGGGAGCAGGACTCTGTGTCTTCTGCTTTAATCTACACGTTTAATGCTTCCATTTAGTGGTTTGGATGACAACTTTGAAATGAAAGTTGGCGACGGCTTTAAGCTGCGATGGATGATTGGCACAATGAAGCTTTGTGAGTGCTTTCTGACTGCCTGTGCTCGGTCCAATCAAACCTGTGGGTCATCAAATCCGTACAACCATTAAAGAATTAGTGAAACTCGGAAAATTAGAATATCACGCAAAAGTTCATTTATTTCTGTAATTCAACTTACAATATGAATTTAAAAAAATTTTATGATAGAGACTTTTATGTGACACATGCCTTTGTTTGTTATTATTTTGATGATTATGGCACACAGTCCATTTTCAAAATATTCTAATTTTCTGAGGTGTTTTATTTGTGTTTTTTACAAGCTGTGAACCGATTATCAACATTAGGACAAAGAAAGGCCTGTTATCGCACTTGTAATGAGTCTGCCATATATTAGTTTCACATTGTAAATTACTGGAACCAAAACAAATTGTATCGCACATATCATTGTATCAAAAGACAAAACAATATTCCACAGGTCTACATCACGTCAGCATTCTTAAAATATTGTTTACCACAAATGTGAGCCATCTTGTAACCTTATTTTTCTTGTCTTCTGTCTCCTTTCTCTCCTTTCCTCAGCTCAGAGGTAGGACTTTAACAAATCTTACCTATTCCTTGTGACTTTTTTCTTGCTCTAAATTCCCGTTCCTATTTTACACACAATGGAGTCTTTTCAGTTATTAAGCCTCACTTTTGTCCTCACAGAAACCATATGCATGTCAGATCCCCGGCTGCACCAAGCGCTACACTGACCCCAGCTCCTTACGCAAACATGTGAAGATCCACTCTGCCAAAGAGCAGCAGGTGCGGAGGAAGGTGAGACAATCAGTTATTCAATCATTAATATGTGTAAAATGTTGTATTTTTCAAGCTTTTTGTGCTATTTTTCCTGTGTGTATTTGTGTGTGTGTGTGTGAATGTGTGTGTGTGTGTGTGTATGGCGTCACACAACTTCTAACTATGAGTTTTAGAAAATACAAATCTGCCTTATTATACATTAATTATCATTCATTAATCGAAATATAACAAAAAAAAAATCCATCTGAGTGTGTAAACTTTCAGACTCAAGTAAGTAAGTAAGTAATGTTTATTTATATAGCGCATTTTATAGACCAAGGTACAGACCCAAAGCGCTTTACAATGTTCAGAGTCAGATATTGTTCCAATCATTCCACACACGGTGATGACAGAAGCGAGTCCACAACACACTGGACCATCAGCTCCAACACCATCCATTCACTCTCTCATTTACATTCAGACCTATTGTGCATGTTTTTAGTGGTAGGGGAAACTGGAGCACCCGGAGGAAACCTACGCAGACACAGGGAGAACATGCTAACTCCACTCAGAAAGGCCCTATTCCGACCGAGATTCGAACCCAGAACCTCAACTGTTCACGACTTTCTGATGGTTTTAATGTCACATTCAAACAGCCTAATCCACCATCCACAAAAGAGAAAACTAAAAGAGGAAGATGAGGTGTGGGGATTTTGAAAAGCACAGGATTTGGTGGGACCACATTTCAACATGTTTTTGGTCAACAGTTTTCTCCCTCTCGACTGCACAGAGTAAATATAAGAGAAAGGACTCATTGTTGTGGAAGGGGCTGGATAGTGGCACGCAGCGTGATGTGTTCCCGAGCTCTCCACTGTAAAAAGAAACATGTGTAGCATTGTTAATAAGCTGTAATGCACAATGCTCCAGTGGCCAGATGTTATGGACAAATGTCAAACAACCGCTCTTACTCCACTCTCAGAGAAGAGAAAACTGTCACTGTGGGGAAAAGCAGGGGCCAATTACAGCTGATGAATTCTGCAGTGCATTCTGAGGACACATAGGACTGCACTTGGTTTCGCTCTTAAATAATATTGCGCTGTGAGCAACTCTTCACTCATTTGTCAACTGAGGAGCCAAAAGTGCGCTTTTTACAGTGACAAGTGCAAAAATGTGTCTTCAGCGGCTTCAAATTAACACATTTTGAAACAGACTTTATAGCGACATAATGAAAATTCTATTTGATCAAACTCTTTGGAATATTTCAACATGTATCAAAAGTAGATGCTTGGTTCAGTTAGAATTTTCTCAAGCTTATCAAATGCATCAAATGTTTGACTGTGAAAATGTGCCGTATTGATTCCACCATCAACTATGAACACTATCTGCCACTGGAAACAACCCCGAAAACCATACATCAATTTTTCCAGCTGCAGCAGTCTTTGCAGATGCACCCAGAGTTCCCTATCCACATACAATTTCTCCAGCTCATCCAGAGGAATCAGGCTAGCTGTAAACTTTACTTACTTACGTACTAGCTGAGAGACATTGGGCCTCACGAATATCTTCTTAAGAAGTAGATCTCTAAGAAGACCCTACGTGGGATTCATCAACGCTGCTGAATTGTTCGCAGCTGTTCTCTTAGATTGATAAATGCCAACTCCTCGTAAGTTGAGCGCGCTCCAGGTGCGTCATTAGCATAGGTACTTAGCATAGGTAACCGCCAATTAATGTCCCTAAAAGGGCCTGCAGGGCCGTGTGCAGACGCCAGAGGAAACGGCAACATTGAGCGAAGAGTTACGACGGAGCTAGCCTGGTTTTACCATACCCATCCCGGGAAAAAAGATTTGACCGGAGTTTACGGATGGCAAAGGCCAGGCTACGACGGAGCCAAAGAGTCACCCTTTTTTCTGAGAATAAAATCATAACATTTTGACTTTAAAGTCGAAATAATATGAGAATAAAGTCGAACTAGAAAAATCATGAGGTTAATCTAAAAAATATTATGAGATTCATCTCAAAATGTTATGAGATTAATCTCAAAATATTATGAGATTAATCTCAAAATGTTATGAGATTAATCTCAAAATATATTATGTATTAATTTAAAAATATATTATGTATTAATTTAAAAATGAATCTCAAAATGTTATGAGATTAATCTCAAAATATTTTTTACTTTGGGAGGAGATCCAGCGTGGACTATAGCGCTGAAACCAATGCAGACCCGAGGAGAGACCACAGACTGGAAAGACCAGCGCGGACCGAGGAGAGACCGTAGACTGAAGAGACCGTAGACTGAAGAGACCGTAGACTGAAGAGACCGTAGACTGAAGAGACCGTAGACTGAAGAGACCGTAGACTGAAGAGACCATAGACTGGAGAGACCGGCGCGCAGAGACCAGCGCGGACCGAGAAGAGACCGCATAGACTGGAGAAACCATAGACTGGAGAGACCAGCGCGGTCCTGTAATAGATCCATGGGAGAGACCAGGGCGGATAAAGAAATGCCCCCTATAAATAGGAAGGGGTCACTAATACACGGCATGATTTCCAATGTGTTGGCACAATTCATTGAAAAATGTATTTAAAAAATAGGCTAAATTACTATAAAAAATCAAATAAATAAATACATACATCAACACCAGCGTGCGAACATGTCAGCACTGAATGTGCTTAATTTGTAGGATTCGTAGGATTTGTACCTACCCAAGAGAAATCCTCGTAAGTTGGATTTACGTACAAATTAGTTCTTAAGAACGGTTCGTGAATGAGGCCCATTGTCCTTCTAGCCTGTTGTACCTCTTCCCTCGGTCTCCTACCCCTGGGACATGTCCTCCCCAGGGAGGCGTCCAGATCCCAGCGCTCAGCAACTTCAGAGTAAAACTATGAAGTAAAAGGAAACCACTGAGTATATTACTATTATTGTTATTATTTTTGTTATTGTTATATTTTGTGCATATGGCAGCATGGTGGTTAAGCCTTTCTGTGTGTTGTTTGTCAGGGTGGGTGTCCTCCAGGCACTCTGGTTTCTCACACTTCCTAAAACATGCAGCATAGCTAACTCCTCCAGCTCTGGTCCTGACACCAAGAGCTTCATCCTCTGGACAGGGGTCCCCAGTCACATGCAGAAGACACATTTAAATAAAGTATACCTTACACGTAACCTTAATATATTATTATTACACTCACTTGTCATTTACCTGGCTGAAGTACCAACATCGTTTTCTGCCTTTTCGTCACCAAAGCTATTTCATAACACCAAAATATTGCTTTGCTCCAGTTTGTAAACTTATTGGCCAATAAATGATGTTCAAAAAACAAGGAACTGAAGTGTCTTGTAAAGAAGACATGTCTTTGTGTGCGTTTACTGTTACTCCCAAAGTAAACCAGAATTCACTTAAGTAAATAAGTAAGTAATCTTTGTTTGTATACCGCCTTTCACAGACCAGAGTCACAAAGCAGTTTACTTTTGTGGGCATTTGTCTCTCACTACACACAGTTAATTGGTTCACTTAAAGTGAACCAATTAAGGACAACATTTTGGGGAGATGTGAAACCACCAACAAGGGCACACTCTAACAATAGTCATTTAAGTATTTTTGTCCTAACTGGTTCACTCAAAGTGAATTCTGCTTCACTTGGGATGTAAAAGTGAAGCTATGATTGCAACATCAAAAATGTGGATGTATCCCTCAGCCCTAACTGTGGGCACAGCCTTTGAGAAGTTTTCTGTGCTGCTCTTTCTCAACAACGTGTCGTCTATCTCTGAACCTTCAGAGAACACTTCTCATTGTTACTATTTGCTTTGAGAAAACAGCCTTTTCCCTTTGGCTTTGTGTTGGCACAGTGATCATGAACGTCTTAAAGTCCAAGCCAAAACATGACTCAAACATGAGTGAATTACTCTTTCCCTGGTTCCTTCTGAATCCTAACAACTTGTGATTTACAGAGATACTGTTTCACATTAACATTGCAATCACGTTATGGCCAATGAGGAAAACAAAAATACACACTAGCTCCTGGCAGAACAAATTTGGTATTATTTTGTTGCTGTCCAGCTGCCTTTGATGAATGAACAGTGCATCTTTGTTGTGGTCTGATTGTGTTATGTTTTGTTGACAGCTGCAATCGTGTCCTCACATAGAGCAGGACATCCTGAGTGAATGTTTGTCCATGCAGCACCTCCAGAGCTCCTCTCAGCAGCACCTCTTCAACGGAAAAGACCCGCGCTCCTCCGCCCTGGGCCAGGACAGCTTCCCCGGTACTTCCTCCAGACATACAGTACATTTGCTCCTCATGCTCAATGCTGTATTCATTTTTACAAGACAATCTGTTATGAATAAAAAGTTAGGGATCCCAGTTTGAAGAGTTAGAGAAGTATATTGTTTACCTTTTCAGTTTGGTTAAACACATATATATGTCAAGCCGACCTTGAGTTTAAGCAAAATATATCAGTGTCCAGGAAATAATGAAAATAGTTGCTCTGCTGTCAAACCGCCAGCACACCTGGGAAAGCTCTCTCCTGTCTACTGCGGTCATAAACAGGGAATGTCATCATTTATGGAGATGTATGACAGTCATTTGTGCTTTTTACCCTTTGTAATCACATATACACATTCAGCCTGGCCTAAGCAAATAACCATAATGTGATTTATGCGACCGCTTTCACACATTTTACTTGTGCAACTGTAACAACTATTTATGCTCAGAACGCCTTGCGATTGGCATTCTTTTGCTTGACCTTGTTTGCTTTGTATTTTATGGCCATTTAACGTCATCAACTTGTCTTGTCGAGCTAACGACCGCAAAAACCATTAGCTCCTGTGTTTATTCATCTCATAAGGCCCTTAGCTACTGTTCTAACTGATGACTTTGACCACCACCACTAAGGTTTATAAACAAATCTTGTTTTAAAGGAGAAATGCTTTACAGTATTGACTTTTTTGAGCTTTTTACCATATTACTAAATTCCTCCTCTTTAATCACAGACCTGGAGTTGACCTTTTATATCCATCCACGCTAAAATCAGGAACTTCTGGCACGAACATGTAACTCTGCCCCTTCTGTCTGAAAGCTCCTGTCTCAGTCCTGTAATAGCTTGATGTCTTTCTACCACTATTTGTTACCCATCATTTTTGTTTCACTATATATTTTCTGCCTAAGATATCATTTCACATTCTAAAACAAGAAAAAACAAGTGTGCTCAATACGTCAATCCCAAAGGCAGGGTGGGTAGCTCGTATGCTAACAGCGCCATAGTTTATCAATTACGGTAGAGTGTTTCAAAGGCCGTCCAAATGGTTTAATGGGAATTGACTTTGAAACAGAGATGACAGTGGTATTTTTTCATATTTTTTAAAGTTAAAACAAAAATGACTCAGCCACGACTGTGCTTTGTTTCGGAAGATCTTGTGTTGATGGCATGAGAAGAAGCAATCGAGTTATTTTATATAGAACTCACAGCAGTAAAACAATAGAAGTTAATTTTTAGAGGCTGAGCGAGGTGTGAGGGCGGCACGGTGGCTGAGTGGATAGCACTCTCGCCTCTCAGCAAGAAGGTCCTGGGTTCGAATCCCGGTCGGACCAGGGCCTTTCTGAGTGGAGTTTGCATGTTCTCCCCGTGTCTGCGTAGGTTTCCTCCGGGTACTCCGGTTTCCCCTACCACTAAAAATATGTCCAATAGTTCTGGCATGCGCTTCCTGTACTGGCGACCCCGCTCCCATCTCTGTGTGGAGTGAGATACAAATGCCCAAAATTAACAATTGTAAACCGCTTTGAGACTCAGATCTGCAGTGTAAAGGCGGTATATAAATAAAAACTTACTTACTTACTTGACTTAAATCAGTTCTGAGCAGGGATTTATCGGGATTCACCACATGTCACAAGTGTTCCTGTTCATGTATATTGTATTTAGTCGTTAGAACCAGTGAAGCCTTGAGTTAATAATACCACAGTTTTTATTCTCTTTGTCAGTGGATGCTTCTTGATCTTTTAAATAGTTTCTACCCCTGGAGGACTTGGCTCTCAGAAAAACGTCATTCAAATGTGGACTGGCATTTAGACGTCATTTGCATGAAACTGTCTTTGTGTTTGAGCCAATGAGACGCACGAAAGAGGTGGAGTGTCCCATTATCGACACTTAGAAGACTGACTCATGCTTCCAGGCAGAGTTGTTTTCTGTTTGTGAGACTTATGAGAAACCCCTCTCTGTTTTATTGACCATTATTAGAGTGTTCCCCAATTAAGCAGAGGAAGCACCGATCACGCTTTACTGTGATGCCCGCTGATCTGCTGAGTGCTCCGGATTCCTCTGCATACCTCTTCTTCTGAAACCTTTACGAGAATAACTCCAACAACAGTACTTGCCTTTATATTAAATAAGAAAACAGTAAGAATGAAGTGCTGATTTACAGCCATTTATTATTGTTTATCATTATTTGTTTTTACATATAGTTGACATATGGCCCAGTACTACTTGCACAGTACGTCTTGTATCTAATGTTTTTTATGTTGTATTTGCATAACTTTGCATATTCAGTTTTTATCTATTTATATGATTTAAATTTGAACTGAGAGCCCTGCACAAAGAATCAAATTTGTATAGAAATAAATGGTGGAACTAGTGTGAAGGGTTGAAGATCACTTCCGTCAGTTACTCCTTGAGCTACCACCAAAAGGAGAAGAAACATTTTGTTTTGTTTTTTACAGAAAAGTACCGACTGCAAACACAGATTGAAAAGAATGTAAGTTTGCTTTCATAAAAGTTAACATAGTAATTTATAGGCAATACTTTTGTTTTTAATTATAGTTTGACATCATAGTGGTACAATGACGTCATACTATTACAGGATAGGAGCTTACACACAACGTTCACATGGTTTTATACAAAGTAAGAATGCTCTCCTCAGCATAGATGCCATAGCACCAGTAGATAAGTTTGCTTCGACCTTCAGATAATTGCTCAAAAGTCTTACAGAATGTCTATTATAGTGTGAGTATTGCACTGAAGCCACGTAAGATGAACCAAATGATAAAGACATCATAAGAGATCATAGGTTCACATTGTCATCCAGCCAACGTCAGCTGTTTGACTATTCCAACATTTGTGTGGGGAAAAAAGTGTTGTATATAACCATAATGTTAAACAATGTTCAAAGAACAGCCGGTAATTTTTTCAAATTTAGGGAAATAAAAAAGAACTCTGGTGGTCGCATGAGGAGTAACAGGCGGAAAGCTTTTTCTACTCTTCATACTATTGACACTTCATATCTTTTCTACCTTATAGATATTTTTTATTTTACATAAAAATTTAATCCAAATAGTTTCAGTAAAATGTTATTTAAAGAAAGGGCAGATGGCTTTTCTAACACAGATACACTGTATTGATCCTCAGAGTAGCTCACGTTGTATAATATAAACGTATTTAGATGGAAAATGCTAACACTCTAGCACAATGAAGCCCAATAGGGAAGGGCTCATGGATGAAGTTTTGTCCCGCTCGCTCTGGCTCCTATTGACTTTGACATTGAAAAGTGAACTCTTCCAGTTCAGTAACCTTCACAGTCACCATTTTGGGCTAAATGGTTTAGCGTTCTCCGTATAATGTTAATTTATATCATGTTTAACGAGTTAGAAGCTAAAAATGATTTTGCACAATACGAGTCCTTTAACTTTGTCTACAACTGCAGACCTGTACCAATCTGCATACATAATCCTTACTAACCAATCCTGCTGTTGCATGGATGAAATTGGAGCAATCTTGGCCATTATTCAGGGCTGTTTTCCTGGTTTGGTTGCAGATGTTGGGGGCTAAAGGGGAAAACATTTAAGGCGAGTGATTGATGATTTGCGGGTAATGAATCAAGCTTGTAACTATTTGAGAGTGCTGTCAGATTAGGCTTTGGCATTCTTCCACGGGGTAACAGCTGCAGAACCAGGAGCAGCCGTCCACTTTAGCCCCTTTCATCTGCTCCTGTCTGGTCGGGATGGTAACTCCTGCAGACAAGCCGCTCTGCTGGGCCGCGCTGGGAAAGAAATCAGCTCCAAATGAGATCTTCATATCTCTTCTGTTACTGTCTGTACACTAACATCTGAATAGGCAAGGGAGGTTTAGTTCTATAGCACAGTTCACACACCAGGCCATTCAAAGTGCTTTACAAAACAATAAGATCATACGGATAAAACATATTATTACAGTGCATGATGTTGTTTATGTTTTACATGAAAAATAATAAAGATACAATCCTTCAGTTGTATGCACAGCTAAAACAGAACTGTTTTTAACTAGGATTTGAACAGTGTCAGCGTTTAGCCTCTCTCACATTTTCTGGAAGACTATTCCAGATTTTAGTTCTTTTTTAGATCTAGAATGTTGCCTCCCCATGCTTCATCCAGACTCTGAGCACCAGTAGGAGCAAGTCCCTGTGCTCCTCAGATTCCCAGCAAGAGGGCAATCCCTGTGCTCCTGCCTGGTTCATAGGGCATCAACATGTCACAGATGTACTTTGGTGCGAGGCCATGGAGAGACTTTTACACAAGCTGCTTTAAAGTCTATTCTCTGCAGAAAAGTGAAGAAAATGACAAAAATACATACATCTAGAATGCTGCCTCCCCATCTTTAGACCAAACTCAGGAGGGCAGTCCCTGTGCTCATGAGAGTCAAAGCAGAAGCCAGTCCCTGTGAGTAGGAAATAATATGCCAATAGTGAATCCCTATGGACCACGTTATACATCATTTTAAAACTCAGAACAGCCTGAATCCAGTTTTAAAAGCTTTTCTAAAAGTGTCAGTTTTCATAGGGAGGTGTAGCAACAATTATTATGATGCTGTGAATGTTATTGTCGAAAGATGAGGAGGAAGAGAATATGCACATAATGAATTAGAAAAAATAAAAATAGGGCTCAACTGATCTGAAGGGCTTTATTTCCAACGTGGTTATCATTGGCATATGCTGCAAAAACGGATACATGACTTTATTTAAGTCATTTCTATCTTTACTGTCAAGATTTACATTGGAACAAGATATTTTTTCTTGTGCTCTGACAGCTCTTTGTTTAAGGATAAACAAAGTGTACTAAACTCAATATAAATTTAACCTATTTCAAGCTTGTTTGGTTGCAGTTTCCAGATGGGAAAATGCTAATTCAATTCAATTCGTAATAAAATGTTACAACGGTTTACATCGTCTCCAGTTCAGTTCTCAGGGAATCAGTGACAATGCAGTGTCCAGATGTTTCTTATGCCCGCCGAATGTTGTATAACCAACGCACACATACATACACACACACACATAGACATATACACGCACACACGGGGACTATCCTCTACTAAATGCTCTACTGTTTAAAGCCACTGCTGAAACATATGTAACATTTTACTTCATTATGGTGTAATAAGAACAAACAGCTGTAAGGACATGCAAGGCCAATCCCCGTGGCAGTGCAAACAATGTACCCCAAATTACAACCAGCGCAAACACAGAACATTTCACTTTGCACCGGCCTCTGATTGGATGAGTGATGTCAAAACAAAATCCACTGCCTTGAAATGGCTTTTAATTTGCTCAAAGAAAAGGCCCCTCGAGTTTGTGCGACACGTTTACTGAATTAGCTTTGTTTGTCTTTCAGGCATGTACACTGGCTCCAGCCACCCCCACCAGCCCATCATCAGTGCCCAGGCCGAGCTCTCCACCGCCCCAGACCTGCCCCAGAGACACAGGCTGGAGCGGGACATGGGCAGCCCTCATCTGTCCCCCATCACTCCCATGGAGGCCAGAGACGGGTCAGTGAGACAGCCCTAACTGGCAAAAGAACACACCATTTCTTTTCCAATTTACTTTCAAACACACAAATCTGTACTTTCTATACGTCTTTAAATAGATTATAGTTACTTTTAGAAGCTTTCAGAGAATACAGAAAAACAGACAAGCACGTTTGTCCAAATTTCGTGAAATAGATTTGGTTGTGGGGGTTAGCCATGCTTCTAGATTCATTCATACAGATGTGAAGTGGTTTGCATGCTTCTAAGTTCACAAAAAAGGTTTGAAGTGGTTAGCTGTCCTTCTAAATTCATTCATACACTTTTGAAGCAGTTAGCCATGCTTCTTTAAAAGAGTCGCCAAGTGGCTAGCTGTGCTTTTACATTAATTCAGGCAGGTTTAAAGTGATTCGATAAAGTGATGCTTCTAAGTTTGTCAATAAAACTCTGGTCTGCCATGTTTCTAAATACATGAATGCAGGTTTAAAGTTGTTAGCAGTGCTTCTAAGTCCAGTAACATGTTACAAGTTGTTTTACTGCGTATTCTGTACTTGAGCAAAAAAAAAAAATTTATTTCCATCCATAAAAACTACATGTAGCTTCACTCGAGTGGAATGCCACCTCTATACAATACTCTACCTTTTATTACGCATGTATGTAAGTAAGTGAGTATGTGTGTGTGTGTTTGTGTGTATGTGTGTGTGTGCGTGTGAGTATGTGTGTGTGTGTGAGTATGTGTGTGCGTGTGTGTGCGTGTGTGTGTGGGTAAAGTATGTGTTTGTGTGTGTGTGTGTGTGTGTGTGTGTATGTAAAGTATGTGTGTGTGTGTCCGTGTGTGTGTGGGTAAAGTTTGTGTGTGTGTGTGTGTACGTGTGTGTGTGTGTGTGTGTGTACGTGTGAGTATGTGGGTGTGTGCGTGTGCGTGTGTGTGGGTAAAGTATGTGTTTGTGTGTGTGTGTGCGTGTGTGTGTGTGTAAAGTATGTGTGTACTGTATGTGAGTGTGTCTTTGTGTGTGTGTATGTAAAGTATGTGTGTGTGTGTGTAAAGCATGTGTGTATGTGAGTGTGTCTTTGTGTGTGTGTATGTAAAGTATGCGTGTGTGTGTGTGTGTGTGTAAAGTATGTGTGTATGTGAGTGTGTGTATGTAAAGTATGTGTGTGTGTGCGTGCGTGTGAGTATATGTGTGTGTCTGTGTGTGTGTATGTAAAGTATGTGTGTGTGTGTGTGTGAGTGTGTGAGTATGTGTGTATGTGTGTAAAGTATGTGTGTGTGTGTGCGTGTGCGTGAGTATGTGTGTAAAGTATGTGTGTGTAGCTACATGTGTGAAATGAGGCTTCCCATAACAACCACACACTGGCCTTTTCCATACGAGCTGTGTGCTGAATAAACAGGCCCGCTGAGCCAGAGAGAGACTGAGGGGTGAGCTCATGTGTTCCATCAGATTACTTCTTACAAATATCATCAGAAATGTAAACAGCTTTGACTGACACACACAGGAAAAATCTAATAAATGATGTTTTATTTTATTATGACTTTGCTCTCTATGATATAAATCCTGCCTCTCTCAACAGAAAGTGAAATAGACCACACTTGTTCTGTGTAATGAGTTAGAAGCTGCGTGGGAACAGAACCACCTTGAATGAATTGAGATCCATTTCATAGGAGTTTATTTATGAATAGAAAATGTCAGAAAATGATGATAAAGGTAAATTACAGTACATTTATCTCCCCAAAAATGGATCAAATTCATGCACAACTTTTGAAATAAAATCATGTTGTGGAGAATACTTTGAAAATATAATAATGAATCACAGTTCTGGATTTAGAAAGCTTTCCCACTACCATGTGTAACATTTTAGTGTAGCAAGAGAGCACTGTTTTTTCTACTTGTTTAAGAGAAAAACATACTTTCCGACTTTTACAGAGCTCGGAGCAATGTGAGTGGTTTTGCTTGGTCATCTACGGTCCTGACCAAGTGTTGTGGCTTTGACAAAAAACTATCATAGTCTGTGTTTGTGAGCATGTCACCCAGTCCAAGCATCAAAGTTGGAGTTTATGTACAAATATATATATATAACTTGCATAATCAACTGTAATACATTATTTAAATCTCTGAAAAGTAACCGTATTGCCACTGCAGTTACTCAAATGTCGTATCCCGCTATACGCAGCACTGTGTACGTTACACTGTATAATAGGCAGCTATCAGTTTTGTGCATTTCCTCAATGAATATAACAGTCTTTAGAACTCCATGCCTTCAATTAATATAGCATAAGGTGATGTGCCACTTCTGAAACTATAGCACTTATAACACACATATTATATTTTCTTGATTTAGTGTTAATTTCAGTTCTTAAATAAATCATTCCACTGTAGATTATTTTTAACAGCTGTGTCTGGAGGTGAAGGAGAGCGGGTCAATTCAATGTTACAGTGACACGCCACTTTTGGCTCTCTCACCGGTGTCCACTGTCTCCGTTATCTCAGGGCTTTTCATGACTCATTCTGTACTAAGTGAGAAAGCACTGTTTATTATTCCCTATACTTAGTCTTACGGATTATGAAGCCTGTTCTTTGTTTTGCCCCGTAGAGATTTAAGGTCCACTTAAAAAACAAGACCTGTCCAAATCCAAAAAACACGCAATTGTTTTATCTGTCCATAATTGTTATACTGAGTCGAGGCGTTCGTATAATCGTGCAGTGTTATATTCATATTACAACACATCTGGGCTTTGTTACCAACGATCTTTTGGGAACATGTTAAATAAGCAACTAATAAAAACGGAAAGAGTAATTAGATGAACTGCGAAAGGATGGTTGAAATTAAAATAGCTTGACTTAATAAGATCAACAATAAAAGCAGAAGAGCGTCTAAAGCTGCTCTGCACTGGAGGACATGCACCTCTGTTTGGGCGTGTGAGCAGCGTGTTTCCCATTAGAGAGATTCCCAGAGGAGAGTTTCAGAGTCCAAGCAGGCACAGCGTGTTCTGGAACAAACAATACATCGATCACATCTAGTCATTAAAGAGGCCTTTTGGAGTTTACCCATCCACTGTTGCTCAAATGTCCAGTGCCACTTATGAAATGAATCCAGCCAAAGTTTATCTGCTTAAGGTTACGCTCATTTGACATCACAACGTTCCAAAGAGCGTGTAGTTTAACAATGCGGTGGAGAGCACATGAGATATCTGTCATGGTGACTGTCAATTCAAACTTCTATTCTTAGTTTAAAGCTAATGTTTTTGTAATTCTTGGGCCAATCCACATGTAAAAAAACCAACACTGTTCCAAAGTTCCACATCTTCTCTGTCAGCACATGTCAACAATCATCTAAAGATTTTCTCATAAAGGTGTCTAGAGCTGGTGATGATATTCAAAAAGCATGCATGATGTTGGCCGGTAGTAAGACGTTCAGACACAAGAGGAACATGGCGGCTTTGTGGATCCAATCAAGTAACTATCTGGGGAAACATTCAGACATTTATTTATTCTACAACATTTAGAGTTTTATTCTCCAACCTAATTAGAATGCTAGAACACGAACATAGCCTTGGCCGTATTCAGACTTACTTTCAGAAACTCTGCTGGTGTTTGACCATACAATTACAAGAGGATATTGAAATGATTGGAACATTTGCTTTTAGTTGCTGTGAGTACATCTTATCCTTTCTAATTAACGATTAGATCATTTTCAGCATTTTTACACTATAATATATACACTAATGTTATGCAATTAAGCATAAAGGTGTTCAAAGTATTCAGAATACAGTACTCTGATTGGACCATGTAACAAAATGGGATATTTAGACCATTTTCAAAGTATTTTATATTCTGCAGACCGGTGAGATATACAGAAAACAGTAGCAGCAGAAACACATGCATTCATTCAAACAAAACAAATAAATAGATCATTCTAAAAATAGCTAACAATAGTATTAAAATCCAACAGTACTTTAGGTCAAAGCAGCAGAGATGGTGTAGCCGCTTGGTTCGGACCCTTTTCTCTGCTCTAATCCAAAGTAAAATGCTGAATGTTTTGTTAGCATTTTTCAAAGAGTTAGCCTTTCTCCAGTGAATTTTTGCCCGATCCACTTGGTTCCATGAATCCTCTCCGCTCCGGCCTGGACCAGTGTAAAACCATGAACACTGTACTGCAGCAACATCTCAGCTAGAAAAAAGCAGGAAAAATTAAGAGATTTAAAGCACAAAACAACAACTGTTTCAGAGCTACTCAGGACTTGCTCCGTTTCCAGCCCATTCAAAAGTAAAAAGTACTGGTATAGGCCACCTGCTTACCTCCTCAGTATAGCCATATACACTCATTCAAACAGGTGTTTTTCTGACTTTAAAATCTGTGCATAGTAATTCAGTAATAGAATGGCTTATTTCCCGTTCAGCCATGCGTTGGCTTGTGCAGGAGCCTGTACGAGTGAAAGAAGTGGAAAGCTCTAATTGAAGAAACACATATAATTCCTTCAGACTGCTCTCAACGTCCAGCGCAAACAGAACGTCCCGGGACCTTTCAGCCTGCCACCATCGAGACCCAAAGTGCTGCTATACACAGGTCTTGAAAAGTAGAGGAAAACCCTGTCAAAACGTTGTTACATTGCAGTCTGTGGAGGTTTTTGTGTCAAGACTTCACACAATGCAAAGTGAAAGGCAATGAGGGTTAGCAGCGCTGTTACGGCCTTGTGCGCGGTGACATATTGAAAGTGAGGCGCAAGTTTGTTCCTTTTGGCTCTGAGGAACATGAAGCGTGCCCTAATCAAATGCACGTGTTTATCAGAGCATCAATCTTATTCAAACACAACTTACAATAACTTTAAACCTAACGAGAGCCGTGTTTTTTCTTCATCGTTCTCGCTTAGATCTACTACATGTGGCGCAATGTCGAGCGCGCAATAAAACTGTAGCTATTTCCAAATGTCCTGATTTGGATCTAGATGCTTCCTAAGATATGCACATGTTTGTTCAGCATCGCTAGCCTTCTCATCACTCAAAGTCCCCCCGCTTCTAATTCTA